AAGCGCAACCAACCACTATCAATAGCAAAACGGAGGATGTTTCTCCGCTCATTCTACTGTATATAATATCCACAATCAAAGTTGTTTAACTTTGACCATAAAACGGATCGTTCGTTACGTTCGAGATAATATATAGGACACATTATATTATCGCCGATAATATATCACAGTGAGAGTGCAACTCTAAATCCTTAATTAATCAATTAAATATATTTCTATTGTAATATATTATTTATTGCTAACTAGGACATTTATAAATTAAAACATATGTAATTAAAAAGTGAATGATTCGATGCATAAACTGCTCATTTGTTCAACGAACGAGATATGGAGCTGAAATTGGAATGCAAAACGAATTCGAGAAGCTCCGCGTCGATTGTTAAATTTTTTTTCCGCGTAAGAGATTATACGCAAGTTTTCTTTTTCTCGCGAAAGGATGAAATGAAGATACGAGTGGAACTCTTCCTGTCCGATAGCGCGGAAGATAACGCTCATGTGGAGATTATACGATCGTCTGTCCACTCACTCGTACGTGTTTGTACGCGCTTATTCGCGCAAACAATACGCCCCCTCTTCTCGCAGCTATTCTTGCCCATCCATGCTTAAACCGCGCGAATCGAAGCGAGGAAAACGCCGTGCACTTCCGGTAGAACGGAACGCGTGTCCCGCGGCGCTGCGGGAATTAATTCCGCGTTAGGAATTGTGTGCTCCTGCGCGCGCGGGGATCCAACGAAACTCCTATAACCCGACCAAGAAACATTAAATCCCGCTTTAGACTCTTTTCCGCCTCGTATTCCCGCCGGCGTCGTACAATGTCGAGGAACACCGACGCTCTCAATTGTGTATAACGGCTTGTGCCAGCCGTTGACCGTTGAAAATGAAGTAATCATTCACCGAATAACGAATATCTTTCATCTTCCTATTCCGCTCGAGTAGCGAAATTCATAGACTTTCATTTACTCTTATAAATTGTAGTTGTTTACCGCTTGGGAAATGTTTTATTGAAACTATCATTTCATTTCTCGATATGAAGTTAATTTCGTTTCGATTGAAGAAGAATTTATCAGTTTAAGATTAGAATTAAAGACAGTCACTTAATAAAATAATAAATAATAATCGAGAAATTTAAATAGAAATTTATAAATTTGACTATGAAATAAATTATTCTAGAATTCTCTAAACTTGATTTTTTTAGGAGATTATAACAAAATTAATACATGAAAAATATATTTAATATATATAATAATTAAATATCTCAATATAAATATCTAATATTTAAAATATGCCATGCTATTTTTAATCCCCGGTATTACATAACGGATTGAAATTTTTCAAAAATTCGCTAAAAGAATATTTGAAAAATATATCAGCCGCTTCGTTATTATTTCAATCATATCAAAACAAAAGACCGTGGCTTGTCATTTTTCGATTCACATAACGTGAGCCTTGATTAATCCCTAACACGATTTTCATTTCGGAATCCATTTTTCATTTTTCTCCCGCATGGTTTAAATTCGCGGCGAAATATGAATACGATGCGTGATAAAAAATACTGACACAGCATACAACGATTCTACAGTGTGGTAGAATATGACTCAGATAACGCGGGAAGAGTTCATATAGATGTGAAATCTTTCGGAAACCATATTTCCGGCGTTACGATAAACTTTACGACACGATCGTAATACTTATTGAACGGAATCTTGAAATTTCAGTCATATTTTGCTATAATATTTTCCGGATATATAAAAACGTTTTTGTGTACAAGGGATATACATATAATAATCTCTTTCTTAATTCAATTACATAGACTTTCTTGCCCGTAATATCTCATTCGTCGGTTTGACGAGTTCTTGCGAGGGATAATTTAGAAAATGAACGAGTCTTTATTCGATCGTAATCTTTACGAGGCGTAGCAACAAGTTGGTAGTAAATTTCAAATAAATTCCAATTCGTCGTCACTTTCGGAATCCGTTGCGAAATTGTTTAACTTATTTCGAGTTCTCTCTCAAAGCTGATCGCTCAATTTTGCTGAATGTCGATTTTCTAATCGCAAATCTTGTTATAAAGTTGTATGAACTTCGCATGAATTATCCCCACATGATTACATATATATCTTATTATATATTATTATTCCGTTGATATTATTTATTTAGATTTAGCTAATTCATAATCTAATTATAATTATAATTATATGCATAAAAAAAATACAAAGATTAGAACAAAAATAATTTATCAATAATCTCCAGAAAAAAAGATCTTAAAAGTTCACTCAAAAAATATATGTGACGCTGAAGCATTGACTCGTATCCATAAATACATCTCGCCGCCGGATGATCCTGAAATTACATGCTAGTGTGTTGCATATTGCACAGGATGAAAGAAAACGTGTCCGTACCCTTAGGAAGACTGGAACACCGAAAGGGTTAATGGAGGGCAGTGTACCTCGGGCAGAAGTTGGTGTTGAAGGCGGGAATAATGCGATGGAAACGAGCCCCGCGCCCGATAGCGAACGCAGCCGCAACACGTGAAAATGGCGTTGCTCGACCTTATCAGGCGGCCCATGATTTATAGGTCTGCCCCGAAAGAGAGTTAATGGAGGCAAAATAGCGCCGCGGCGCACACCATGAATCCTTCCGTATCGCGCTGTCGATGGTTCGTTCGACGGCCGGGTCTCTCTCTCTCTCTCTCTCTCTCTCTCTCTCTCTCTCTCTCTCTCTCTCTCTCTCTATCGCGTGCCCGGATCTCCCGGTTCCGAAATGTTCCCGTGGGAATAACTGGACCGTTCCCAGCCGCAAGCGCACGTTCACTATATCTATCTACCTACCTACCTACCTACCTACCTGTGCCAATTAACACACCGATGGTTCCTCTAATCATTGCGGATATATTATCTATGAAGCAATTGTTGTGTGTGTTTCAATATCAGTTTCCTTGATCTCTCTCTCTCTCTCTATCGCGTGCCCGGATCTCCCGGTTCCGAAATGTTCCCGTGGGAATAACTGGACCGTTCCCAGCCGCAAGCGCACGTTCACTATATCTATCTACCTACCTACCTACCTACCTACCTGTGCCAATTAACACACCGATGGTTCCTCTAATCATTGCGGATATATTATCTATGAAGCAATTGTTGTGTGTGTTTCAATATCAGTTTCCTTGATTATCTAACCGCAAATATTTATACGAATATATATTTGGAAATAAATAGAAAAAAATCAAATCATATATTTATTATTAAATAAAACATCGCATTTCTTTTTTAAATTCTTTTATTTTAACCAAATAAAATCTTTGTAATTACAGATGATACATCTAGCGATTATCTTTACAAAGTTTTTTCTTTGTTATTTAATACGTGGTGACTGATGTTTAAATAGATATGACCAGGTTGAGTTATCGAGAAAGATGAGAAGGATACTTTTGCGTATTTCTCTGAAAGCTCGCACATGCGTATAATTTAGCAATGAAAGTTAGCTGTTGATAATTAATATCCTAGATTGAAAGACTCGTCTTCGGAATATCTAACGACTCGCGATTCACCGCGGAAAGTTTGATCATTAAACTTTTAAGCGTGTTTTACGTCGTCGCCGATAAATTCGCACGTGCATTTATGCTGGTTGCAACATGCTTGCTATTTAAACTTTGGACGCACGTTTATTGCTTTTAGCCGTTTATTGCTTTTATTACTATGATTATTATTAGTGCACAAGGGAGGAGAGCTATAAGGGACGTGAGATACGTTCGGATTAAACGACCTTCTAAGAGTCGAACCACCTCTTGCAAGTGTACACAGCTTTGAAGTTTGTGGACTTCATATCTAATGGAACAGTAATCGATAAAAGTTTACAGTTGGTATTTACTAGACTTTTAGTTTACGCTGTAATCGGATTTGAATTCATCGATTCGATCTCAATAAAATATCTAAAAATTTTATATATATATATATATAAAATTTAGAATTTAAATATATATATTACACTATTAAAAAAATTAGTAAGCTCTAAAAATATTTGTATTATTTTTACGTGCACACACACAAAATTGCGTTAGTTATTTAAAATCTAATCTGAAATAAATATCAGTATTTTATTTTTATAAATCTGTAATTGCTCTTTATTAGTAGAGTGTCAGTTTATCTTTCTCTAATCACATCTAATAAAGCCACTTTGCCGCGTATTAACCATCGCATTGCACGACATGCATACTTTGATCCTACATGCTAATCTCACGTGTGTATACGCGTGCAAAACAATACGAGCGGGGCTTGGGACGTACGATATTTTTATCAGCGCTGACTTTATTATATTTTTGCGCTCTATCCGTGCTACGTGAATGATGCGAGTAACGCGAGCGAGAGGTTTTTATGGCTGGTACCAGCACGGTTGGTGCTGGAGACTGTCGGGGTAACCCACGGCAAAATGCGGTAACGAAATAGAATCCGTGCATGGGATGGCATGTTATCGTATTTTACGTTACCCCTCGGTATCCCCGGTCACGCTCAGATGGTTTGCACGGAAGCGAATCTTTTGAACGCTACAGACTCCGAAGCAGAAAACTTCCATCACTCGAATGCCATTGCTCTCGCAGCATTTGATCGATTTTTCACTGTCGGAAGTATATTGTGAGTTTATCGGAAGTATACACAACGTATTCTCAAAGTCGATTATAGAGGGCAATGCGTGAAAAAATGATCCGAGAGTTCCTTTTTTATAAAAGACATTGCGAAATATCGCGAAAATGCAATATAAAAGGATAGCTTCTTAAGAATAAGCTGCAAGAATGTGGAATAATACAATTAATTTATCTCAAGAGGTATTTGATAAAAAGGAAGAGATAAAAAGAATTTGACAAGAAATAACTTTGCATTTCCACTTGAGACATTTCGCGTGCACATTTTTTTTTGTCGTCAAAAGGAGGTCTCTAGGACATCATATATATTCGATCACATTAATCTCGACAAATTTACTAACGCGCTCTCTCCTCTCTTTCTGTTTCAGCTGTATCGTCATACGTACCTGGCCCATTACAGGATCGTGAATCTGGAGACACTGTAAGTAAACGAGCCATGTCTCGGCGGCGTTTTGCGACAATCATATCTCAAATTTATTCCGTGATCAAGTTCAGATTTGCATTTTAATCTCGGCCCCCCCGTCGTAAGCCGAGACGGGGTGAGAGGGGAGAAGGAGTAGGAGGGAAAGGAGGGAAGTTGGAAAAGCTGGGGGCGTGCAAATTACAAACTGTGCACGAATTTAATCCCGGCTCGTCTTACCGTCACCGCTTTACCTTACCCGCTCTGCCCGTTCCGCGTCTGAGAACTTTCCTTCGCGGATTTGATCATTAACTCAGCATTTAGAAGCGGTTATATCACGATTATCGCCATTCCCCGACCGCCGCAATCTCTCGCTCTCCTTCCCCCGTTGGCGAGAAAAAAAAAAGTTAAAGCTCTACCTTTTAGGGCCTAAACTTATTTGCACGGCTGTGATGTTTGCTGGTCTTGCGAAGGCAACACAAATTTTTCGTCCTCCCCCCCTTTTTTTAATGAGAAAGTTACTCTCTTCCTTAATTTTTTGAATCATATTTTCTCAGATTCGACTTGATTAGAGAGATTTGAAACCGAGATTATTTTATATCAGAAAATATATTCTCTTACTTGTGTGCTAGAGAGAGAGAGATTTTGGAATTTAATAAATTTCCAGTTAATTTTGATGAATTGTCAATATTGTTAATTTGAATTTATTATATAATTTAATTAAAGTTGTTAAAGAATCAATTTCGGCAATTTATCATGCTTCTGTTAAATTTATTTGTTTACTTGCTCATGTTACACTATTTGCACATTTGTTTATTTATCAATATATTTGTTATATATGCATATCAAATATTATTGTTTGTCCCATGCCATTTATTTATAGAAAATTATATATTTATTCATATTCGTGTAAATTCTATATTTATTGTATGAAAAAATACATAAGTTCGCATATAAATCTTTTTTAAATATAAAATCTGTAATCATTAGTGTAATTGAAAATTTAAATTAATCGCGATAGGTGAAGGTTACTTTTTTTTACTGACAATAGTTACGGAATTAATATAATATTTTCATAGGACAATCTCGCTTCCTCTCTCTCTCTCTCTCTCCATATATTAGTCAAACTTCCCGTGAAATTTAAATCATCCGAGGAACTAGGTCACCTGTGAAACTCGCAAAATTTCAAAGATCAATTTCTCACGATCGCGAGTCGTTCGCACTCCTCCGAAGGATCCCGAAGTTCATTCACGCGAAACCACGACGCTAGACATCCTAGTTCTAAAGCCGAGGGTGCAGGGCAATTCCGCGAGATTTCGCCGTTATGTGCGGATGCCTGCAGCTTCCACGGCAGGTGAAACTCTCCTCCCCGAGATTTACCATCGCGCTTGAGATCATCGCCCTCAAATAGTCACGCAGATCAAATCACGCTTCCTTTCCCAGCGTGTCTCGGAAGACGCAAAGGTCGTTCGTCATCTTTGAATATACAGTCGCGTCCTTTCGAGGTTTAACCGCGTGACTGTAACAAGCGTGTACATATATATATATACATAATTCACTGTCGAGTTTGGGTTATATCGCTGGTTTTCGAACAGAGCCAAATTTCTAAAGAGTGCGAACGAAGTAGTCTTGACGTGCGGAGTATTTCGAGAATGTGTACTTTGAACATAAAATTTCAGCTTTCAGCTTTGATTATTTTAGGCAAGAAAGTATAGACATAGCTGAATGATTAAGACTTTTAGAGAAGACGCGAAGCCAATTAAAAATAATGTCAGAAAAACATGCGATGCTTGTATAGGACATACAAACATGACTTAAAATAATAATTAATATATTTTATTTATCTTATTTATTAATTATTTTATAATCTTTAAATATAAAAAATATAGTGCAAAGTAGTGTCTCGATCAAAGAAAATGTTAACATAAGCTTCGCTAAAGCCATTAAATTCTTTAGTTTACGAAAATAATTTGATTAAATTTTAATTACATGCTTTCTCCCTCTTTCTCCCCTTTTAATGTCCACGGACGTCAATATATTTTCCTAGTTGTTGAAAGTTTCTCTGAAATTATATCGCAGCACAGTGAAAATGTACAATATCACGGGAGCGCAGTAGGAGAGCGTGTGATCAAATCTCATTTCGAATTATCCCCAAAATCAAAACGGGCCAACTGTATGCAAACGGTTTTTTTTGTAAATTTCGCCATTGCCGCAATAGTTTGTTCACGCGTGGCGGCAATCACGGGGGCGGAAAACAG